TTTTTAAAAATGACTTACTGGCTTGACTTGCTATTCAAGTATATTTCTCAACCAGTTATGTTTCTGTCTCTGTAAAACAGCTTTATTGAGATATAATTCACCTCCAATAAATAGCACATATTTAGTGTGTACCATTTTACAAGCTTTGACATACATGTACACTTGTAAAACCATCACCAGAACCAAAATAATGAGCCCGCCTATCACCCCAACATGTTTCCCGTGTCCCTTTGTAACGCCCTTGCCGCCAGGCAGCCAGCGAGCTCCTTTGTCATGACAGATTAGTCTGCAGTTGCTATGATTTTATATCAATGGGATCATACAGCTTGCACTCTTTTTGTCTGTTTATGTTCTTCCACTGAACATACGAGATTTATCCATACTGCTGTGTATATCAGTAGTTTATTTCTTTTACTTTTTATTACTGAGTGGTATCCACAGTTTGTGTTTATCTGTTTAGCAGGTGGCCACTTGGGTTGTTTCTCGTTTTTGCCGTAAAGCTACTAGGAGCATTTTTGAATGCAGGTCTTTCTGTGGGTGTGTATTTTTATTTCTTCTGGGTAAGTACCTAGGAGTGGTTAGGCTGTATAGTAGGTATCTATTTAGCTTTGTGAGAAACTGCCAAACTCTTCCAAAGTGGTTTTCCCTTCTTATTTCCCCAGTAGTAAATGAGAGTTTAGTTCTACATCCTTGCTCTTAATTGATATGGTCCGTTTTCACAATTTGTAATCATTATAGTAGTTACATATCTCATTGTGGTTTTTTATTAAAAGAATTTTTAAATTTTAGCTTTATTTATTATTATTTTCCAGTTTGATCAGAGAGGGAGAGGGAAAGTGAGAAAAAGTGAGAAAGCAAGCTGCCAGGTCTGGGACTCGAATCACGGTCGGCCATGTGGGAGTCCAGTGCCTTTAGTCACCAAGCCACCTGCTGGCCCATCATTGTGGTTTTAATATGCATTTCTTTAATGACAAATGATGCTGGTCATTTACTATCTAAATACCTTCTTTAGTAAAGCAACTTTAATAAAGATCTACTGCTGTTAGAAGAAACAGCAGTAGTTTCTCTGGCATTTCGGTGGACAGAGTTGGAAAATGGACACATACATATACCATAATTTTTCCACCAGATTACACTCTAGATAGGCTTGGGTTATCTCCTGTATTTTGCTGTCACACAGTCTTTTCTTAATATCTTTTCATTTTTTTCAATATGTTTGACATTTTTTATATTAATTTTTTCAACATTTAGTAAAAAAATTTTCAAACACAGCAAAGTTTAAAGAATTTTACAGTGACTAGCTATACCCATCTCCTCCCTAAACTCTACCATTTATATCTGAACAGATTTGTTTATCATATATCTATCATCACTCCATCTTCCTCTTTTTTTTTTTTTTTTTTTTTTAAGGTTTTTGCTATAGGGTGTGTGCACTCACTATAGAGAGACAGAAAGTGACAAGGAGAGAGGGAAAGTGAGAAATCACCTCCCAGTTGGGCTGACCATGCCACAATCCCTTTTCCCTCATTCTCCTCTCAGGATTTGGAGCATATTTGCGCACAGGCCCTGTGTGTTTTTCAAGCCATCGGGTCTAGGACTAGAACTGTGGAGTGGACTTGGCTATGTGGGATCCAGCAACTAAGCCACCATGTCACCTGCTGGTGTCATGGCACCTTTCAGAGTAAACTGGATTTCTGCCTGTGATCCCCTACCTAGTTTACTACGCATACTATTAAATACAGCCTCAATGTATCATTTCTATTTTATGAACTGTACAAATGGTAATTATATTCACTATTTTGGCAAATGCATATGTCTGTGGAACCCAGACCCCCGTAGTATATACAGTATTAGCAGTCACTGCAGAAAGTCCCTTCACGCTTCTTCAGAAGCAACCACTGCTTCGATGGTTTTTGCTACCATCTGTTTGTTTCCATTTTTTTTTTTCCTTTTTTTAATTTGCCAAAGGATGTGTGTACTTGCCAAAGAGACAGAGGGAAGTGAAGAGGGAGAAAGCATTCCCCTTGGAGAATTATTACACAGCAGTTCCTTCTCTGTTTTTCCCTCTTTCCTGGATTTTAGGTACACATGCATGCATGGCTGGTGTGTTCTTCAAGTCCCCAGATCTGGGATTCACATCACACAATTGGCCATGTAGGATCCAGTTTCCTTAACCACCATGCCACAGGCTGGGCCTGCTTGTCATTTTTAAAAAAAATATATAATTACTCATTTAATTTTATTTAGTAATTCATTTATTTTAATTTGGCCAGAGAGAGACAGAGAGAGAGAAAGAGTGAGAAAGCAAGCTGCCAGGTCCAGTACTCGAACCGTGATCAGCCATGTGGGAATGTCTAGCACCTTAATCACTACGCCCCCTGCTGGTCCCCCTGCTTGTCATTTTGTAAAGTCACTGCAGATGTGTTGATTTGAATGCTCTGTGATTAAGCTTGTTTCCTAATTCTGCTTGTATTTTTCACAGCATTAACCTGTATATTTCTAGAACTTTAAATTACATCACTCCTTCAGTGCAGGTATAGATTTTATTCCCTCCCCACATTTCTCTACTGTTGTTTTTCTTTTAAACAAGTCTGTTGAGCTACAATGTTTCCAGTGGAAATATAAAGTTCAGTGGTTTAGAATATTTTACTAATTTTTAAAAAGAATTATTTAATTTTATTTACCCACTTATTTATGTAGTTATTATTTAAATTTGACCAGAGAGGGACAGAGTAAGAGAGACATCAGTTATGTGAATGTGTCTCTCTCTCTAAATATCTTATTGTACTGTACTCACCTATTTTGGACCCTGGTTGGCTGCAGGTAACTGAAACCGTGCAGAGCAGAGGTGTTGATGGAAAAGGACGAGGGCTACAGTTTAGTGGTATAAATCGTATCCACTTTGTGTGTAACCATCACCACTGTCCATCTCTAGAGCTTTTCCATCAACACAGACAGAAGCTCTGTACCCACTAAACACTGTTTTCTGTTTTTAGATTTTTGTCATCTGGTGTGCTCTCTGGAGAGAGATGCAGACAGGCAGAAAGTAAGAAATCACCGCCCACCCAGGGAGGATGGCCATGCCACAGTCCCTTTTCCTCCACTCTCCTCTTGGGATTTTGGACACACGTGCACACACATCTAGTATGATTTTTCAAGCTACCAGGTCCAAGACTTGAACCATGTCGACCATGTGGGAATCCAGTGCCTTTAACCACCATGCCACCTGCTGGCCCCTCTCACTCTGTATTACCATCTGCCCTCAGCCTCTGGTAACCTCTGTTCTACCTTGTTTTTTGAATTCGCCTATTCTCAGAACCTCATCTAAACTAGTTCTAGCGTATGTTCATCACCCCGAAAGGAAACCACTTAGCATTAAGCAGTGGCTCCCATCTCTCCTCCCCCAGCCCCTTGGTGCTACTCATCTGCTTTGCATCTCTATGCATTTGCCTCTCCTGAATATTCCATATAAGTCAAATCACACAGGTTTTATTTCTGACTTATTTCATTTAGCATCACATTTTCAAGGTTTGTTCATGTCATAACATGTACAAGTACTTTGTATCTTTTAAATTGCCAAATATTTAATATTCCAAGAAATATGCCATATTTTGGTTTTTTTAATCAACTTTTTATCTTTTATCAATCGATGGATGTTTAGATTCTTTTCACCTTTTGGCTATTATGAATAGTGCTGCTGTGAACATGCATGTACAAGTTTTCGTGTGGACATGTTTCATTTCTCTTGAGCATATACCCAGGAGTGAAATTGTTGGGTCATGAGCTAACTTGGTTTAAATTGTTGAGGAATTGCCAGATTGGTTTCCAAAGTGGACACACCACTTTACATTCCCACCAGCAGTGTATGTGGGTTCCAGTTTCTCTACGTCCTTGCCAACACTTTTAGATGATCTTTTTATTCTAGCCATCCCAATAGGTGTGGAGTGGTATAACTCATTGTGGTTTTAGCATGGATTTCTCTGACTGCTGACGATGTTGCACATCTTATTGGTTGGTTGTGTATCTTATTTGGAAAATTATCTATTTGTATTTCTATTTTTTGTTGGTTATTTGTCCAGTTAAAGGGAACTTGTACACAGAATACATAAAAGAATCTAGCTATAAGTCCTTTATCAGATACTTGATTTGTGAATATTTTCTATCATTCTGCAGGCTTGTCTTTTCATATTTTGCTGTCCTTTGCAACACAAAGATTTTAATTTTGATGATATCTAGCTTATATAGTTTTTCTCCTGTTGCTTGTGGTTTTGATGTCAAATGAAAGAAACTGTTGGTTCAACCAAGGTCATGAAGGTTTATGCCTATGTCTTCTACTCAAGAGTTTTATACTTTTAGCTCTTACATTTATGGTGTGAGGTAGGGGTCCAAGTTCATTCTTTTGATTGTGGAATATCCAGTTGTCCCAATACCAATTGCTGAAAAGACTTTTCTTTCTCTTTTGAATTGTCTTTGGCACCCTGGTTGAAAAAAATCAATTGATGGTTAATGTGAGGATCTATCTCTGGACTCTGAATTCGGTTCTCTCAGTGTATATTGTCTGTCTTCTGTTTCTTTATAAAAAGTCATTAACCTAAAGAAGATGTTTATGGAAGTATTTCTTTGTGACCTACTGTTTTAAATCTTCTGTTCAGGATTTCCTATATTTTGTTTCAGTAGCTTCTCCCATTTTCTTCTCCAGTGATCTCATTTTGTGTGTAATACCATCTAGAAGGGAGTGCCAGTGGTGAGGTTTAATAATGCTAAAGTCATCAGGATGGCGCTTCCCATTTTTCAAAGACTGCTTAGAATACAGACAGGAAGTATCTTTATTTGGCAATGATAGCGTAAAATGATGAAAATAAAAGATTTTCTCACCTTATTTGCATTTGAGATGCAGTACCACATGAGTATGTTAAACTAATGGCTATAACTTTTTCCTTGCTAAAGTATACATTTCATTCCCATCAAAAATTACTCCTTATGATTATACATCTTTGTAGAGTTCCTGAGCTGGAGGTAGAAGAAGAAACACAAGTCCAAGAGATGACCTTGGATGAGTGGAAAAATCTCCAAGAACAGACCAGACCAAAGCCTGAGTTTAACATCCGGAAACCAGAGTCCACTGTCCCTTCCAAAGCAGTGGTGATTCACAAGTCAAAATATAGAGATGATGTAAGCATTGCATTTTGTATTTTGCACCTACAGGTAATCTTTACTTTTACCTTATTCTAAGTGAAATGGACCTGACTGCTTCTAATTTCAAAGTGGAACAGTAGAAGTTGGCATTCTCCTTTCTAGATAAGCGTGATGAGAGATGATGCATGCCTCATTTTACTCTCTTTTTACTGTTCATTGAAGAAAGGAATTGAATACAACAATATGTAAATTAGAAATTATAATAAAAATGAATTTTAAAAAGAGCTTAAAAGGCATTAAAACTTGATGGATTGACATTTCAGTGCAAAGCAGTTAGAGTGACTATATTTTCTGCTCACCCTAGAGCTGTTCTGAGACTGTACACTGTGTGTTAATTGTATTTTATTGTCTCTTAAATGAGTCTTTCCAATACAATGCTATTTCATTTTTTAAAAGAATTATTTATTTAATTTTATTTATTATTACTTTTTTTTTTAATTGACCACAGGGTACCTGTACTCCACAGAGAGAGGGAGGGAAAGCGTGAAAGCAGGTTGCCAGGTCCGGGACCCAAGCCACAGTCAGCCATGTGGAAATCCAATGCCTTCACCATCATGCCACCTCTTAGCCCCTATGATGCTATTTCTAAAGCTAACTACTCTTACTACTTTCAGTTCTAATTCTTTCTTTCTTTCTTCTTTCTTTGTTTCTTTATCTTTTTCTTTAGGTTTTTACAATAGGGGACGTGCACTCACCAGAGAGAGAAAGAGAGTGAATGGGAGAAATCATTCCCCAGGGGGATGGCTACATTGCAACCCCTTCTCCTTCATTCTCCTCCTGGGATTTCAGTTACACCTGCATACACACCTGGCAAGATTTTCAAGCCGCCAGGTCTGGGACTCCAACTGTGCACTTGGCCATGTGGGATCCAGCACCTCAGCTTCCATGCCACTTGCTGGCCCTTAGCTCTAATTCTTGATAAGAGCATACCATTTAGAATAATAGAGGTTGTGTTCTCTCTGATGCCTTTCTCATGTTACTTCAGAGCTTTGCTCCCTCTGCTGACCTGCCCGAACTGCCTGGCAGTGAAAAGGGACACTGCTGCTCAGCCAGCCAAGCCACAGGTATGGCTCTGAGCCTTGCTCACAGTCTTGAAGGGAGCAGTTTCAGGGACAGTATCTACAAACATTTACTGACAAGATGACCACTGGCTCATTTAATCACATTCCACTTGTTACTGAACATGGGGGTACACGGAGACCTTCTTTTTTTGGTGGGGAGGGATTTGCTACAGGGCGCGCCAGAGAGAGACAGAGAGACAGAATGCGAGAAATCACCCCCTGGTGGGGATGGCCACGCTGCAATACCTTCTCCATTCTCCTCTCGGGATCTTGGGCACGCACACACACGCACCCGGCGTGAGTTTAAGCCACCAGGTCCAGAACTCGAACCGCAGTCAACTACATGGGAGTCCAGTGACAGCCATTATGCTAACTGCTCGTCCCGCTCTTTTTTTTTTTTTTAGAGAGAGAGATTTTTGCTATAGGGCATGTACACTCACCTGATAAGAGAGACTGAAAGCGAGGAATCACCCGCCAGAGGAATGGCCATGCCACAATCCCTTCTCCTCCTTCTCCTCCTCCTCCTCTTGGGCTTCTGGGCATGCACGTATAAGTGCCCCATATGAGTTTAAGCCGCCAGGTCCGGGACTCAAACCACCGCTGACTATGTGGGAGTCCAGTGACATAGCCATTACACCACCTGCTGGTCTTTACTGAGGCCTTCTAATGATAGAATTTGTATCATTGAATCACAGATTGATATGAGTCTTTGCGTGTTGATGGCAATGAGCAAACCCTTCCTTCCTGCTGGGTATTATTCCTTGACTTTCAGTCAAAGCTCAGGAATTGTATACTCTATATAATTTGTCTGTGTTTCCATTTATACTTTGATTCGTTGTAGTCTTTTATTTTTAAACTGCCAGAGGGCACATGTGCTTACCAGAAAGAAAGAGAGGAAGCACCCCTGAAGGAATGTGTCCCCACTGCAGTCCCTTCCCTGCCACATCTCCATCCCATCTCAATTTTGGGCATGCACTCACACGCACTTAGGACATTTTTCAAACTACTGGGCTAGAATTTTTTTTTAAAAGAGCTATTTATTTAATTTTGTTATTATTATTATTTTAATTTGCTATTGGGCATGTGCATTCACCAGAAAGACACAGAGACAGAGAGCAGAGGGAAAGTGAGAAAGCAAGCCACCAGGTCCAGGACTTGAACTGTGCTCGGCCATGAGGAGTCCAGTGCCTTAACCAGCACACCACATGCTGGCCCCTGCAGCTAGAATCTGAACCACTGTCATCCATGTGGAATCCAGTTCCCTATGCCCGGGGTTTACCTGCCGTGCTATGGGCAGTTATAGTCTTTGAATATTGTCCTTAGAGAGTATTCCTTGATGATGCAGGCTCCCTTCCCACTCTCCTGGTGCGGTCAGTCTAGCTCTAGAGGCCCTACAGAAACTTCTACTAGGATGGCTTTTTGTACACACAGGAGGCCAGAGTCTTTTTCATTCTCTCGTAAATCTCTAAATCTCTGTGAGATTCATGGAAATCCATTAGCTAGCTGAGTTGGTTCCTTTTTTTAAAACATTACTCATTTATTTAATTTTCTTTCTTCTTTTTTTCCCTCCCCTAAATCTGCTACAGGTCACATACACTCCCCAGAGAAACACAGAGAGAGAAAAGGAAGGTGAGGAAGTAAGCTGCCAGGTACAGGACATGGACCGCAGTCAGCCATGCAGGAGTCTAGCCCTTTAACCACCATGCCACGCGCTGGCTCCCACTGGGTTGGTTCTTCACCTGCCCACTTTCGTGTTCTCTTTCGTTGTGGGCATTGTAAATAAAGCTTTGTCTAAAACAAACGTGCTGTCAGGATGTGAGCTGTGCAGCTGACACGTTAGGTAAAAATAGAAGCTGCCCTTCCTTAGTCCACATCACATTCATCCTGGCTTTCGGGGTCCCCTGGAATATCTGAAACAACTGGGTTGGCTGAGTCATCAGGCTGGTCTCAGTAAAACACACATCTGTGTCCTTGTTAATCTTAAGGCACTGAAGATTTTAGCCAGAAATTGTCCTGAAAGCAACACAAGCCAATCTTGAAGTCACTCGTTTTCGTCCCAGGCCCCCTAAGAGACAGAAGCACTGGTGTCATACACCTTGTCAGGGGAGGCTTGTTGCAAAGCTCAGATGTGGCACCAACCCCAGGAAACCAGCTGGGCTGTCAGAGCACTGGCCAGGGCCAGGCAGCGCTGGGGTGGAGCCCAGGCCTGACTGTGTCCATTCCTCCACCCACGGCCCTGCACGCCTTCCGGCCCCGGGGCAGGAAGCGGGCGGTGGCCCCCAGGATGGCCCAGCAGCAAACCTGGCAGCCCCTCCCCAGCTCCTACAGTCGTCCCCTGACACAGCAGTAGCTTACTCTTCCTCCTCCCGTTCTTGGGTGTGCATCTTTCCCACCCAGGTGCAGTGCTCCCCGTTCAGTCTTTCACCGTCTTAACATCTGGAGTCTATCCACCTAAGCCTCTGCTCTGGTTCAGTCTGACACTTCAAAGCCTCCAGGGTTAAACCTGGGGTCTGGGGCCAGCTTGTGGCTTGGCGGCTAAGCCTCTGGACTCCCACATGGCCCACTGCAGTTCAAGTCCTGGCCCAGCAGCTTGAAAAAACACTGGGCACATGCGCGTACATGCCTGCTCAAAATCCCAGGAGTAGAGTGGAGAAGGGATTGCGGCGTGGCCATGCCCTCTGGGGGCTGATTTCTCACTTTCCCTCTCTCTGCCTTTCTCTGGTTAGTGCACATGCTGTATGGCAAAAACCTCAAACAAACAAACACCAAAAACCTAGAGCATGTAATGAACCTAGTGGCTCAAAGGGGTGGATGTACTCAGGAAAATTGTATTTCACTTCCTGGACAGGGTGGAGGAGTGTTTCACGTTAGGGCACTTGGAATTTCTCATCCAAGATCACTGGCATGATTTCTTCTCTGTAGGCCTACATTTTACTTAAAGTGAGTTTGTTTTGTTTTGTTTTATCCATTCTTATGAGTTGGAGACAAATTGTAGACTCCAATGAGATTTATTTAATATAGTTTTCTCTTTTTTTTCCAGGTTTTTGCCATAGGTCACATGCATTCACCAGAGAGACCAGAGACAGAGAGAGGAAAAGGGAGAAATTACCCCTCCGGGGGATAAGCAATGCCACAGTTCCCTCTCTTCCACCCTCCTCTTGGGATTTTTGGGAATGCATGCACACGCACCCAGTGTGATTCTCAAGCCACTGGGCCCAGGACTTGAACTGTGAAGCTGGCTATGTGGGATTCAGCACCTTAACCTCCACGCTACCTGCTGACCCTCATATTGAATACTGATATTGTAACAGTATTAAAAGGTAGTACAGGAGCCAGCAGATGGCATGGTGGTTAGGAACTGGAATCCCAACATGGCCAACTCCATGGTTCAAATCCTAGACCTGACAGCCTGCTTTTTCACTTTCTCTCTCTCTCCTCCTTCTCTCTCTCTCTTTCTCTCTGGCGAGTGCATGTGTCCTATAGCAAATTAAAAATAGTCATAACAAATTTAATTTTTTCATTTCTAGAGGTTTTTGCCTTAGGGTGAATGCACTCACTAGGGAGAGAGAGACTGAGAGGGCAAATGAGAAATCACTCCCCCAGGGGGATAGCCTCACCACAGTCCCTTCTCCTCCATCCTCTTCCAAGGATTTTGGGCATGCACACACATGTATCCAGTGTGATTTTTTAAGCCACCAGATCTGGGACTTGAACCATGGTCAGCCATGTGGGAGTCCAGTGACATAACTGCTGTGCCATCTGCTGGCCCCCAAATTAAATAGACAAATTATTTTAAAAGAAAAAACAATAGCACAAACAACGGGTGATTGGGCTGTGGCAGCTCTCCCCTCATGGGTGGTGGGATTGATGCCGTTACAAAAGGGTAAGATCCTGGGAACCAGCAGTTAGCGTAATGACTATGTCGTTGGACTCCCACGTAGTCGACCGCGATTCATGTCCTGGACCTGGTGGCTTAAAACTCACGCCGGGCGCGTGTGCGTGCGTGCCCAAGATCCCGAGAGGAGAATGGAGGAGAAGGGATTGCGGCGTGACCATCCCCCCTGAGGGGTGATTTCTCGCTTTCTGTCTCTATGTCTCTCTCTGTCTGTCTGGCGAGTGCACGTGCCCTACAGTGAAAATCTCTCAAAAAAAAAAAAAGGGTAAGATCCTGCCATTGTGGTAAAGGTGATAAGGCACCACCACATGGTACCATTACCACATGGGAAGGCCCAGGATTCGGACACCAGGCTGACCCACACTTGCTGGGTACGCCTGTGACTCTGGATGGCTGGAAGGCTAAGAGTAGGATTCTGGCACAGTGGAACCTTGGCAGAGTGTCCCCCTTTCTGCATTTGATAAACTAAAAATGGGGGTAAACGTCCCCTTCCTCCCTCTGGCCTTCTTCGCCTTCCTGACTTCTGCCATGAGATGATGCAGCATGAAGGCCCCAGCAGATGCTGCACCTAAATACTGGACTTCACAGCCTCCAGAACTGTGAGACAACACATTTCTGTTGATTATAAATTACCCGTTACAGCAGCACAGACTCAGACCAGCAGGGATTGGGCCAACTCGTTTTGGTAATTCGTGGTGGAAGTCCTGGCACCAGCACCCATGTGGGTGTGCCCAAAATCCCAGGCCGAAAGTGGAGGAGAAGGGACTGTGGTGTGGCCAGCCCCCAGGGGACAATTTCTCACTCCCTACCCCTGCTCTCTCTGTCTCTCTCTGGTGAGCACACATACTCTATGGCAAAAAAAAATGAAGTATGTGTGTATGTGTGTGTGTATATATATATATATATATATACACACACACACATTTAGAGAGAGAGAGAGAGCGAGGCCTCTTAAAATGTAATTTCTCAAGAGAACTTTAATATAGTTTTCTTGAAAAGCAGCCGGATTTGATTTCTTTATGCAGCATTGGTAGCAGCCCTCAGAAAAACCACACTCGTGTTACAAATGTTCCGAGTGAAAGTTGTCCATGGTAAATTACCCCAGTTTTATTAACGCATGGTATCTGTGCAGTCAGCACCCACGTGGAAAGGAATTTCTCCATCAAGTCCTATTTTAGGAAGGTGATATTCCCTTATGTATCAAAGGAGCACTTTGGAACAAATAAAGGAGAAAGTAGGCAGAAGTCGAAGCATTTTTATTTCAGCCAAATACACTTAGATGTAAAACAGTTGTGTTGCTTGCTGTTAGTCATGTACCATCTTCCATTTTACCCTGCCGAGCTGAGAGAAATCATGTCGGTGGATGCAGAGGTGTTGGGATCGGATGGGACGGGGACAGTACCATGGGAGCATGTGGGGGTGGCCCGGCCCGGCCTCACCTGTGTTGGGACCAGAGCAGCCCTGCCTCTGCCTTTGCCCAGCCCGGCTGCCCAGGCCCAAGGGCTCTCGTCCGGCCCGTGAGGGTGTGAGGACACGTGTGTGACTATGGCTGTATTTCAGATGGTAAAGGATGACTGTGAGGACGATGCCCATGTGTTCCGAAAGGCCGCCAATGACATCACGTCCCAGCTAGAAATCAACTTTGGTAACCTCCCTCGTCCCGGGCGCGGAGCCAGAGGTGGCCCTCGGGGAGGCCGGGGGCGGATCAGACGGGCGGAGCACTACGGGCCCCGAGCAGAAGTGGTGGTAGGTGTCTGGGCTGCACGAGGGGGTCTGCTGAGGGGAGGGACAGGACGGGGCCGCCGCGGCCACATTGATGGTCACCAAGCCTTGCAGTCGCATCGCCCACTGGCTGGCGTGGGCCTGGTGTTGGGGCATCTGGCACGGTGACACAGGCTCACGGACGTAAGTCACACACAGACTTTGTGCAGCCCCGGCTTCCGGGATCTGCAGGGAGCCCCACTGTTCCCCACGAACACACCCCAGAACCACAGGATTCCTGCATCAGGCCAGGTACCCAGGCCTGGGATCGAGTCACACTGTCTGGTGGTGGCTACTGAGGACACCCTGTGCCCAGGCGATGCTTCAGGGCAGGCGGAGCCTTCCCTGGGGCATCAGGGCCTTTGTGACGGCCCCTCTCCCACCCTCCGCAGG